GAGACAAATTTTTCGTGAGTGGATGAATTCTGGGGTAGGTGACGATACTTCTGCTGCTTCCCACTCAAGCAACAGTTCAAAAGCAGAATGGCTTGGAGAAACTGAACAAGAGAGGGTTAGAATCATAAGGGAGTGGGTTCAGAGGAATAGTCAGCAGAGTGCTGTTTCTGGTGACCCAAGAGAAGAACAGCCTGTTGAAGTTGCTGACCAAATTGAACGAGTGCTTGACGGATTGGTTGTAAATGAGAGCCTTATCCAGAATGAGCCAGCTAGAAGAGGCATACGCAAGTTATGCGGCAGGCAAGCCTTGCTTGATATGCTAAAGAAAGCGGAGAGGGAAAGACACCAAGAGCTACAGGTTTTGATGCAGCATCACACTGTGTCAAACTTTGCACACCGCAACCGTATTCAGGTTTGCTCATAAGACTTGTTTTTAGCTTCTTTCCTTTCATTGTTCTGTCTGTCTAACATTGAATTAATGATCCAGAAATGAAATTGTGGTAGCTTTCACACTTAGGCTTAGCTCATTCATTTAGGCTGGGATACTTTCTCAGAAATCATAAAATCATAACTTTTCTTATTTTCTTAAAAAAGTACTGTCATTCAAGAATAAATATGAAGCTATAAGAAGTATTACCATTCTAGATTCCAAGATTTGAACCTGTTGTCTCAGAAGAATGACAACGAAAGGCTGTATTACCAATTTACCATTGTGAAATGCATAACAGAAAACAAAGTGATGGCAGCATACTTGGGCACATTGATCCATTCTTTGTTTCTCTGTATACCTGTTTGGTTATTTTATGCTCTGTTTTTTTTTAAAGATTTCAACAGCTTGTTCATGCAATAAAAATTGGTGTATTTACTGAGCAGTTCTTAATTTATTTCTATGGATATCCTCTATGTAAGATTTTCTCTGATGCAATAACTAAGTCAGCTTAGGATGGCATATAGGTTGTTGAATGGCTATATAGCAAAAGGCATGGTGTCTGTTGTGTGTTTATGCCCTGAGCCTATGTCTCGTATAAGCAGTAGATTATACTGTTTCATCTTTGATATATCCTGAAGTGATGATCTTGACTTGCCATCACAGTCATTACTAAGAGGAAGATTCTTGCGGAATTGTGACTTGGGTGATAAAGAAAAGCCGTCTTCATCAGCGGCTACTGAATTGGGCTTTCTTAGAGAGAGGCAACCTGTATCTGGGCTGAGGTGGGTAGTTCTTTTGTGTCAATCAATTTGGTGCATGGCATTGTTTATATTTGGAAGCCTTTCCTTGTTTCTCTGTGGATCCTATTATATATCTCTATGTGTTTTTCTCTCAATATTCTTCGCTAGAGATGTTTCAATTTCAGATCATATGCTTGAAATAAAATGATGATGTGTTGCTATATTTAGTTATAGAGATGTGTATTCATGAATGTGTCTTGCTTCTATTGGTTTTGGTCACCACAAAGTATCATGCCAATCTAATTTTGAGTTTGAAGTATTTCTTGGCAGGAATACCTCTCAAGAAATTTGGAACTTTCTATCTCTTTGTGAAAAAGTATATTGACTGTATACTGTTTTGTCCTTTCTCATCTCTTCTGTTTGCAGGGATGAATTTATATCCAAGCAGGACCGATCTGTCTTTGGTCAAACAAGCAGTAGACACTCGGATACCTCATCGGATGCTGAAATCGATGATAATATAGGTGAACTGATGTGCTTAAATTCTTTAGATTGCATCAATGATGCAAATGGGCTTTCAGATCAAAACGGAAGAGAAGCTGATAACCAGGGCTTGCCTGATGGGACGACTGATTCGGGACTTCAAAACAATCAGAGATCTACCATGGAAGAAAGGGTAGCTCGTGTAGAAGTGTGGCGGGGCCAACTCTCTCAAAATTTTGAAAGAGAATGGCAACAGTCAGCGAGAGAGAAATTTTTGGAAAGAAGAAATGTTACTGAAGCAGAGCTATTCAGCAACCAGAGGCAGGATGATACAGGGGATTCATTCTCTGAAAGCTCAGGAGAAGAACCTAGACAACACTGCCATTATCATCCACAACAGTATACGGGGTTGGCACTTGAACAGCCTCAGTGGAATACCGAGGAAAGTGCCCCATTGGAACAAATAAACGAGTCAGTAAATGTAGCTGAAAGCATTAACCCGACTGTCTCTCTAGAGGAACAACAACAGGAAGAGGTTCTGGTAAATGAAGAATCAGATTGGCAAATAATCAATGATGAAATCGATGGATGGAGAGAATATGCTGAAGAGGAGGCAGATACAAATATACCTGAGAATTTTCTAAATCAGTTGCCCCAAGCTTCATCCATGGACGTGAATAGAGAAACTCATGATCTCCGAGACCTCCCTGAGATGCAACCCAGTGATGGTGATCTTCAAGGAGCAATACAAGACTGGTCGGAAGAGTCTTCTGATCAGGACACGGTTTCAATTGGAGGGGTTGCCAGGTTCTATCCCCCTGACGATGACCATGTATACAACATGGAACTCAGGGAACTGCTGAGCAGGTAAGATTTAGTCATCTTTCTGCCATAAATCCCTTATTTGTTGGCTACCGAGAGACATTTTTTTTAAATAATTTTCTGGTTGCAATACAGGAGACGTGTGTCAAATCTTTTGCAGAGTGGTTTCAGGGAGAGTCTTGACCAACTGATACAATCTTATATGGAAAGACAAAACCGTAACCCTGTGGACTGGGAAGAACAAGAGACTTTCCCT